GCCCCTTGGCATCGCTCGGACGTGCGCCTTTCTCTCGGCGGGGACTCTCGAGGAGCATCTCGGATCTTCTTGCGAAGCGATTATAAAAAAACACCCACGGAGCCGTCAACATGCGCCATGAATTCAGGAGGAAGAGAAACACACAGACACAATTAATCGTCGATTCCCCAGAAAATACGGGAAACTATGGGAAGTGGGGGGGGAAGACAAAAACCCAGAACATATGGGGAAATATGGGGGACCCTGCTATTTGTGTGTATTTATGTGTGTGTATATATATATATATATGTGTGTGTGTGTCCTTGGGCCCCTTCATACAAAAAACACCCACGAAGCCGTCAGCATGCACCACGCATGGACGTCCGAGCGATGGCAGGGCCCAGGGAAGGGGTCGGGAGACTCTGTCGGTCGGGCGGGGCCAGGACCAGAAGAGAAACCGCTCTGGAGTTAAGTCGGGCCCTGTCCCTCTCCAGAGGAAAATTATATATATTATCTCTATATAATATATATCTATATATTTATATATATATATGTATCATATACACCATTTTGGAGTATATTCGGGGTATTCTCAATTTTTCGCCCGACATTCCCCTGTATAGCGGCGCCCGGCCCCGACGCGCCCGCGCTGAAGCGCCACACGTGCCGTGTTCGAGACGTCCGCGCTGATGCGCTGCGTGCTGGCCCGGCACGCGTGGGCCCACGCCTTGTGGGAGGCTGGCAGGCCTCCTGACCTGACACGCCGATTAGCGAGTTGGCCGTGTTCGGTGCGCGAGGGGGCGTCGCGGCCGTCGTTTCTGCGGGTCCAGGTCCGTCGGTTTCGGTCCTGGGCCGTTTTCACTAAGGGGAGGTTTGCTAAAGGGAGGTTTGTCCACCGCCGAGTGCACGGATCGCGCCAGACCTACGTGTTCAATCTACGTGTCGAGCTCCGTATCAACACGCAACGTGTCGCGTGTTGCGTATCGGGGCAGCGAAGCCCAGCACCGCCGGATGCCGGAGCCGGTTGTCTCCCCGGCCCGATGTGGGCCGGGTCTCCGGGCTTCGTCTTGTTGTGGGGCCGCGGGCGGGCTCGATGTTCTGTTTTTGATATATATATATACACATACATACACACAGATATCACCACCGCCTGGAGGACCGATTTTTTCGGAGACCTCGGCAGGCGGTGGGCATGGACATCTTGGGGCCGCCCAGGGGCGCACATCCGCCGCTCGCCGGGCCCCCAGGACGTCGGCTTCATGGCGAGGTGGCCGTGGATGCGTCCCGCCTCGGAAGTCTGCCCTCGGCGTCACCCCAACATGCTTATACTATGTGTGCGTCGCCCCCCCCGGGGGCGACGCGCGCGCCGAGAACTTTTGTAGTATGTATGCGTCGTGGCGGGCACTTTCTGGCCACAACGCTCGGGACAGGATGTACTACAAGACGGGCATACTAGATGCCCGGGTCGGACGCGCGCCTCCAAGGAGGACACAGCAGTAGTAGTATGTCCCTGTGCGTCCCATGCCCGTCATCCACGAGGCCTCGCGTGGGCGGGCCCGTCGGGCCCGTCGGCCCCCCGTGGATGGCGTGGCACGCTGGCCCCCCCCCCCCCCGCGCGGGGCGCGCGCAGCGCCGCGGGGGGCCCGCGTGTTTGTGCGCGCGCGTGTGTGTGCGTGGGTGTGTTGTGTGTGTTTGTGTGTTTGTGTATGTGTGTGTGTGTGTGTGTGTGTGTGTGTGTGCGTGCGTGCGTGCGTGCGCGTGCGCGTGCGCGTGCGCGTGCGCGTGCGTGTGTGTGTGTGTGTGTGTGTGTGTGTGTGTGTGTGTGTGTGTGTGTGTGTGTGTGTTGTGCGTGTGTGTGTGTGTGTGTGTGTGTGTGTGTGTGTGTGTGTGTGTGTGTGTGTGTGTGTGTGTGTGTGTGTGTGTGTGTGTGAGTGTGTGTGTGTGTGTGTGTGTGTGCGTGTGTTGTGCTCGCCGCCCGCCGCGGAGGAGTACCTGGCGGCGGTCGTGGCCCCGAGCCGCTCGGCCGAGCACCACGAGGCTCCGCGGAAGGGCCCCGCATACCACCGCCGTGCTCGGCCTGGGCCGCCCCGGGGGCCCCCAGGGCGGCGTGCGGGCTCTCCCTGGCCTCGGCCAGAGGTCGAAGAATAGCAGAACGACGTAAACACAACGAGCAAAAGAGGCAAGAGAAAACAACAGACGAAGCAGACGAAGCCAGAGGTAAGAGAACGGAGGCAAGAAAACGGAGGTAAGAAAACAGAACAGCAGACGAACACGGGGGTAAGAACAGCGACAGACGTAAGCAGGAAGCAGAGAGAGAACGGAGGGGCGAAAACGAAGGCGTAAACAGTGGCAGACGTGGGAGGTGATAGAAACTGAACTGAACTGAGGTCGACGCGGATTTCTCAGATCGGTGCTGGACCTCCCTCCCCTGGCGCTCGGAGCGCGCCAGAGGCGGTGCGGCGCTGGAGGCGCGCCAGGGGGGGGCGCAGCGCCGACGCCCAACAAATCGTGCGGAGATCCGAGAGCCTACAGTGCCGTTTTTAATACATGCTCCGCGTGTAAAGACAACGATGAGTTCATGCATACATTTATTTAAATTAATCATGTACTAGAAATCCTATATGTTTAAAAATCCCAAGTATTAAAAACTGCCCTGTGTGCTCATGTTTTTTGGTGGGCCCTCTGAGTGCCGCAGGCCGCCACCGAGGAACGACAAATGCCTGGACTGAGCAAAATCATGCCGTGCGCACTCCGCGCTGGGGCCCGGGGAGGGCCCCGGCCAGGCACCACCCACGCCGTCGGCACGCGGCCGAGCGACCCCTCGCCGCAGTGACCTCTTGGCGCGCGGCCCTCCCGGGGGCGCGGGGGGCCGACGCCCAAGCACGCGGGCTCGGCCACTGCCGCTCCCTCGGCTCCGACGCCCGAGCAGCCACGACCGGAGCCCCCGACCTCGTCTTCCTGCGGCTCGCCGAGCGCGTTTTCCACTGTGCTCGCGGAGTGCCTGCTCGCAAACGTCCGAACAAAAGCACGTGCCTGCATCGATGTGCTGTGCATCGTGGATCCCCCATGGCGGATCTCCAGGCCACCTGCGAGCAGTCACTCGGCGAGCCGTGGCACGCGCCTGTCTGGCGGCACTCCTCGAGCCGCCTCGGCCCCTGGTGGCCCAGGCGCCCCACGCCCGGCGACAGAGAACGCGCCCGGCGTGGCAGCGCCGGCCGTCCGCCCCTCCTCCCCCTCCTCCTCCTCCTCCTGCTCCTCCTCCTCCTCCTCTTCCTCCTCCTCCTCCTCTTCCTCTTCCCCTTCCCTTCCCTTCCTCCTCCTCCTCCTCCTCCTCCTCCTCCAAGTGGCCGTGTGAGGCTTGAGCAGCCGCGCGCCACTTCAGAATTTAACAAATGCAAGCAGACACAGCAGCATGTCGCCATGTCGTCTGAGTGCTCAGCGGCGCGTCTTGGGCAGATAAGCATCGTCGCTTACAACCCCAACAGCGCCACCCGCGGGCGCGCCCAGGATATACTGGACGAGCTGCACAACGTGACGGTGGTAAGCCTCATCGGCACTCAGGAGAAGGAAGGAGCTTCATGGGGGCAGGGAGGTTCGTCATCTTTCTTCATTCTGGGGCTTTTCAGAAGGCTGGAAGTCGGGGGCCATGTCCAACAAGTCTTGCGGTCTCAGTATTTGGTTCCACAATAAGTTTTTTCGGCAGAGTCACCTACGTGGAGTTGTCTCGGCCCCTCGGGGGCTGCAGAGAAGAGTACTATGCTGCAAGATGGAGAGGCAGTCTGTCAGAGTGGCTTTTATTTCTTTGTATTTTCCGCCTGCCACCCGCAACAAAGAGGACCAGCTGCGGTACTCCAACACCTGCGAGGCGATCATCAGGTGGCTCACCAGGACGCTAGATGCACTTGCTGGACGTTGGATACCAGTTCTGACTATGGATTTGAATTCTACTTTCACGGAGGAGACAGAGGAAGTTATCGGGCCCTTCGGCCACGGCGAGGACGAAAAGAAATCGGCGCAGTTGTTGAGAAGCGTGCTCGTGGCCCACGAGTTCTGTATGGTGAACACAATGAGAGATGCAGGATACACCTTCGTGGCCTCAAGTGGTACGACGCGCACGCTGGATTACATTGCACTGCCAGCAGCCCTGTTGCCTGCAGTACGATGGTGCACGACATTCAAGAGGAGCATGCGCAGATTGCAGCCGCACAAGTGGGGGCGGGAATGGGATCATTTACCTCTCGGCATCGGTGTTCAATGGTCTAAGCAGTTGGAGCTTATGCCGAGGGCTGAGAAACAAGTTCGAGTTGAGCCGACGGCGGCCAGCGCCTTATTGCAGCGTGGCTACAAACGTAAGGAGTTCACGACGGTTGTCCACGACCATACTTTGTCGAAGGCGGCGTGGGTCAAGAGCCAGACGGGGTGCACGATGGCGGTGGAGGCTAATCAGTTACTGGTTGAAGCTTTGAATGCAGGAGCTCTAGCGACATGCACGACAAAGGAGGGCTACACGGAGTCACACACAGAGTATGCGAAGGTTTTACGCGATCTACTACGAGATAGGCGTGAAGTTCGAGACCGATTGGCAGCAGCTTACTCTTGTGATGACGAGAACCGACAGCTGGAGCTCACGATCCGAATTACGACAATAAGTAAGTGGTTGCGCAGACACAAGCAGCGACATTGGCAGCGAGCGGAAGAAGATCGAGTGCGAGTCTTCGAGGAGGCACGAGCGGAAGGTGACTTTCGAGAAGTACATCGACTTGCGAGACTGATAGCGAGTAAGGGAAGAGGACCAAGGAGACGCAGTTATAGACAGTTACACACGAGTGGCACGGCTTCAGAGTGGATTACACGCATGCAGCAAGAGGGCGTGCAAGGTGGTGCTTCAGTGCAGGTGGTCAGCTATGATGCCATGCTTCAGATGGTGCACGACCTGCCCGAGCAGACCAACGCAATCACGGCCGAGGAAACGCAGGAAGACGTGGGTGCATTCAAACATGAGGTTTGGCGGCCCAGATTATGGAGAGTGGCGCCACAGGAGAGTATTTGCGCTGAGTTTTTACGTGCAGCAATGTTTCCGAATTGGGTCAACAAAAGGCGGCAGATCAAACGGCGCGGGATCGGCTACGTGACGGAGCAAGAAAAGTTGACAGCTAACCCTGTGTATTTCATATTGTGGTGCCTACTTCGTGGGATCCGAGAAAGCGGGAAGCTACCATTAAGTTGGATTCTGTCGGACGCTTGCAAGATTGGCAAAGGCAACGAGAAGGAGGGAGTCGACGGCGAAAGGTTGATCATGCTGGTGTGTACGATTGCGAAGGCATACTACCGATCACTGCTGGCCCGAGGGGCTCCACCTGAACCAGAATCTTGGATTTATGGATGTCTTCCAGGCCGACGTCGAGAGGCAGCTGTGATTGCCCAACGAGGTTATTCTTGGCGCAAGAACCGACATCATCAATCACACGTGAAGCGACTCCACGATGCTACGAACGCCTTTTACTGTATCGATCACGACGCTTTGTGCGAGGAAGTGAAATTTCTTTTTCGAGAAGAAGATTGGCACTTGATGAAGTTTCGAGTTCAACTGGCATGTTTTACTGTTCCTGGAGATACAACGGGCAGTGTACTTTGGCTTCATCAAGGATGTCTTCCTGGAGACCCTGCCATGGTACGGCTTTTTGTTGGTGCTTATTCCAGGCAGATGGCCATGGGCTCTGTCAGCGTGGCGAACTACAAGCAGAGCAGCTTTCAGTGTCCTTGGTCGAAGAAGTGGGCGCAGGCGGCTTTTGCACTGTATGTAGACGATGCGGCCGACAACTTTGATGTCAAGACCACCAGCGAGTCCATCATCAGCGAAGGCAAGTTTCAGAACTCAGTCATATCTGGAAGGATGACCGAGGTCAAGATGGCGCAGAACGTGAGCAAGCAGGATAATCTTTTGTATATGTGTGGGCAGAATTCAGTATATCTAGAAGCGAAGTTTTTGCGTGAGCAATGCTTGGAAGGCAGAACGAAGGTATGTGCACGATATTTGGGCCCTCGCATCCATTCGAGGTTCGCTTTGTGTGAAATGGAGTATCGACTGGCTGCAGGGCGCTCGGCATGGTACAATATAGGGCGATTCTTGAACAGCAAAGTACCATTCGGTTGGAAGATCAACCTACTCAAGGGCTACGTGGCGAATGCATGCTACAGCGGAGCAGAAGTACTCTGCGCCAAGACTCGGCCTATGCGAGCACAGGGCTGGCAGCCCATCCTCAGCTTCCTCGCGATGCGTGCAAAGATATTGCTGCGGGGTGTTGTCCAGGAAAAAGAAGACGGTACCATCCGCACCCTCTCCAACCTCCAGGTCTTAACACGGGTAAGGTTAGTAGCTCCGCACGTTGAGATGCGAGTGCGACGGCTTAGGTGGCTTCAACAGTGTCTTCGGAAACACGACCGATTCGCTCAGTTCCTGGCGGTGGTTTTCGGGCGCTCTCGGGTCGACGACCGAACCGAAATCGACAAGTGCACGAGCGAGGACGAGAGAGCGAATCCGTGGTGTGAGCAGCTGTGCGACGACATCAAAACCATCGAGCTTTTCGACGATGGTGCGAGGCTTCTAGAGATTTACGGAGTGGAGGAGATCTTATTCGAGGGGGAGGAGGATTTCACGAGTTTGGATGCAGGAGGTATCAGAGCACACTATTTCCTGAACATCGCACAGCACGAGCGCAAAAAGGAGGAGATTGAACAAGGAGGGCCTCGCAAATGCACCGCACTAAAAGACGACGGGGAAGTTTGTGGGGGGCGGTTCCAGTCCAAAAAGCAGCTTGCAGCGCGCTACCTCGGGGCCAAGGGGGGCACGCGCGGTAAGCAGCTCTTGGGTAGAATGTGTTGTATTTCAAGTCAGTGTGTGATTTGTGGTTCGAATTTCTCGTCTATTGATTATGCTAAGAGGCGCATGCACAACAGTATGCTGAAAGGTATATGCCACAGATCGGGGGAGAACAGATGGCGCGATTATCCTCCCACAAGCTTACGATTGCCCGGCTTGCGATTATGTTGGGCTCGATAATGATGACCTCCGTAGACATCTTCTTGTCGAGCATTTGCATGCGCACCTACACTCACATATTCTGGAGTTTGAACTACCTGGCCTTCAAGGGGCCCTTGATTATTACGCGGAGCAGGATGGCAGATTGGCTTCTTCCCAGTGCTCTCAAGCGGAACATAGAGGGCGGCGGGAACGACAGAGTGCAAGGCTCGAAGAAGGGCAATTCCGAGAACGACGACAATCACGCCAATGCCAAGTTGTTACGCCAGTTGGAGTCACGAATTCGCACGCTGGAGTTCGGAGCAGGTCTCGTAGTGTACGGCCCCAGCGACGACGAGAAGATCGGACTGTTGAAGGCGACCAATCAGGAGTATCAGAAAAAGGTGGAAGGGAAGGCGAACACGCGCGGGCTCGGACCTCCAGAGTTGCAGAGTTTTGCCGCACTTCTGAGCGCTTTCAGCGGATGGCGCGACAAGCAGGGGCCAGCTCAGGAGTCAGTTCGTCATCTCAAAGATATCCCCGAGAGAATGTTGTTGATGATGCAGAAGGCCGACATGCCGATGGCCAGCATGTGGATCAAAGAGTGCGGCACGTCGAACACCCAGGACAGCGGCATCGGTCGGATCACAGTGAAAGTGTTGGGAGCTATGCTGATCCAAGACCCCGAGCCCATGGCCGTCAACCTTCTCAACCAGCAGAAGGAGAGCTGGGCCACGCTCGAGGACGGGGACGCGGCAAAGGAGGCAAAGGACAAGGCCGCCGCCACCGTCCTTCGCAGTCCGCTGGAGATGATTCTAGGAGGAGGAGGTAAAGTAGTGACTTGCGAGCAGATGTTGTATCAGCTTTTTAGGGCTTCTGGTTTCAATAACAAGCCAGGGCGGGCCCCTCGCGGAAAGCTTGTGCGTCTTGTAAAGAATGACAAGTAGCCTGTAGTGGTTGCGACACCACGTGCTCCTCAGCCGTCCTTGCACGATGGGAGTGGCCTTTGAGTCCCCGTCGTGCTTCGAATAAGCTGAGGGGTACTTGGCTTCCCAGCCAATGCCCGCCCCGCGTGGGGCATTCCAGCGAAGCGCTGGGTGCCGCTCCACCGTTTTCGAGGGCCCCTCTGGACAGCGTTAACTTTTTAGGGCCCTGTGGGCCCCAGTCTGCAGCGTTGTTTTCAACTGTTCAGGGCCTCTCGGGAGCGTGAGCACCCCCAAAGAGAGAGATCTGGCGAGAAGAGCCGTGGCCCAGAGCGATCAGGTAGTAGTTCTGACATGTGGAGCTCGAATGGGTAAGACAGACAGACAGACTCCTCCTCCTCCTCCTCCTCCTCCCCTTCCTTCCTCCTCCTCCTTCTCTTCCTCCTCCTCCTCCTCCTGCTCTTCCCCTTCCCTTCCTCCTCCTCCTCCTCTTTCTCCTCCTCCTCTTCCGGCGACAGAGCTGCCAGCGCCCGGACCTCGGGGCATCGCGTGCAGCGATCGGCCCGCCGCGCGGCAGGGGCTCTCTATGTGCTTCGAGCAGGGCAGCGGCCACAGGACGGGCCTGACACACAGCTCGATTCCCTCGTCGGATGTCCACGGACCAAATACAGTCGGGGCCTTGACCTAAGGAGCCCTAAATAAGGAACGAGGCCCCTTTTTTTCCATAAGTAAACTTCGATGTCCGATCGAAAACATAAGGAGAACCTGAGGCAAGCTGCGAAACACTTGAGGAACGCGGAGCCCCTCCCCAACGAAAAGGGTTCCTTCTTCAGGGCCCCGACTGTACGTGTGCACGGTCGTAGATTCGACGGACCAGTCAAGCTCGGGGTAGTCCGAGGCGGGAATTTTCACACGACCGCCGCC